CAGTCCCTGACGTGGCAAACCCTGGCGTTTCCCTGTCTCTGGAGGGGGTGTGGGCCAACGTCCGTGCTGCGATGCCGTCATGCAGAGGTGCTGGGCAGCGCGTCCTGCGGGCTTTCTGTCGAACTGCCCTTCTCTGCACCTCTCGTTTCAGCCCCACGATGAACAGATTCTTCCCTGCAAATTTCCCCAACAAACAGTACCAGCTCCTCTTCACCCAGGGCTCTGGGGAGAGCAAGGAGGGTATGTTGGCTCGCCGGTCTCTCTGGGGACCTGAATGTTGCCTGCCTTCACCGTTCTGTTTCTTGCTCACTTGGTGTTTTGACTTTCAGCCCATTGAAACAAGCGTCTCAAAGACTTGCCTCTTGCTCCCCGCTGTGCTTCTGCAGCCAGTGTGAGCCCCGTGTGTCCCCGCAGAGCCGGGGCTGCTGTGTGCATCTTCTTGCACCGGCTGGTGCTCTCCCTCTGTGCTGCCTCTGGCTGGCAGCAAAACCCCAGAAACAGATCCCAGAGTGCTGCAGGAATGGAGCTGTGGCTGCTGTTAAATGCACTGCCTTTATTTAAGCTCCTTGGGTAGCATAGTACTGACTTTTTTGTGCTGCCTTAACTGATCTGATTCAAATCTTTGCACTGGTAGAAGATGCTTTGATAAGTATCCTGCCCAGTAGCTTTACTGGTAAGGAAATACTACTAATGATACCGCCAGGAATTAACTGGTGCAAGAGGAGGGAAAAGATTTGCCTCTCCCTGCCTTAAACAGTGCCTGAATCCAATTTCCTTATTGACAGAAGGATCGCAGATGCTGTCCATGTGGCAGAGTCTGGCTGAAGGAGAAGGTCCAGGCTCGCCAGGGCCGGCTGCTCACTCGCCTGCGGTTTGCATGCGTTTACCGTGGGCACGGCCATTTCCATGGGTACAGTCCCCTCGTTTGGGATGCGAGCGCTGTGGTCTGTGTTGCTCCCTGGCTGTCAAGTCGCTCATCTCTGCCCTGCGCGGGAAGGGGAGCTGCCCAAAATCTGACTTCTCTGTTTTATTGCAGAAATAGTGAATTACGAGTTTGACACCAAGGATCTCGTATGCCTGGCCCTGAGCAGTGTTGTGGGGGTCTGGTACCTGCTGAGAAAGGTAAGCGAGCCCCAGCCCTGTTGCGAGGAGGCCAGGGACCAGCCCGGATCAGACCCGGGCCCCTTTCCACGCAAGGCCTCTGCAGGCTGAGGCCGTGGCTCGGCACATGCTGTGGGACCCAAATCTCCTTTTCCTGTCGTTCTCAGCACTGGATTGCCAACAATCTCTTTGGGCTGGCGTTCTCCCTCAACGGGGTGGAGCTGCTGCACTTGAACAATGTCAGCACTGGCTGCATCTTGCTCGGGGGCCTCTTCATCTACGATGTCTTCTGGGTAAACGGGAGCGTTCCTCGGGGCGGACGCGAGTTGCAGCCGTTGGCGGAAGGCATGTGTGTGGCGTTACGCCTCTTCGGAGGCAGCACGCTGGCTGGACACGCGTTTGCAGTCAGGATTTCCACTTTCTCAGCCCAAAAGGGGTGTGGTGGGGATGATGACAGAATCAAACAGTGGCAGAACACGGCTCGGCAAATGCATTTGCTTTTAATCTCTGGCTTAGAGAGCCCAGGGCTGGCAGGGATCTCATAAGGGCTGTTGTGGGGTACCCGGGAATAGTGGAATGCCTCCAGTCTCCTTCCCTCAGCCAGTGCAATGCCCCGACATCTTCCTTTTGAGGTTTTCCTTATCTCTCTGCAATGGCCCTGGACTCCTGTTTCTCCTTGTAATGTCCATATTCCCCAGCCCTTCCTGCTGCCTGCACCTTCTGAATGACTGGGTTTCCAAACATCTGAGAGCCTTGTATACCTTGAGGTCTATCCAGCAGCTCTGCAGCTGCCTGAGTAATCCTTCCCTATTTAAGCCTGGCTGCTGGGTGTTATTTTGTACTTGGCTGGTGCTGCCCCTGTTTCATAGGCTTGTTAACAGTCTCGGCTCTGTGGTTTGTTAGCCTGCGAGTGCCACTTCCTCCGCTGCTCTCAGCTGGAGAGGATTCAGCCTGCTGGCTTAGCACACCCAGTGCCTTGCGCCCTGCTCAGGGTGCGAGTGTCTTATAGAATCATAGAATCATTTAGGTTGGAAAAGACCTTTAAGATCATCCAGTCCAACCATTCACCTAACACTGCCAAGTCCACCACTAAACCAATTAAGGGTAGAGTAATAAATAATTTCATGTTTCCTGGCTTGGGGGCTGGATTATTTTTTAATGAAAGTACAAACTAGGAATCATTAAGGTTGGAAAGGATCTCTAAGATCATCAGTCCAACCATCAACCCAACACCCCCATGCCCACTAAACCATGTCCCAAAGTGCCACATCTACACATTTTTAGAACCCCTCCAGGGATGGGGACTCCCCCACCTCTCTGGGCAGCCTGTTCCAATGCTTGGCCACTCTTTCTGTGAAGAAATTTTTCCTAATATCCAATCTAAGATATCTTAGAGGATCTTGCTCACCTGGTGCTAACCAGCCCCTGGTTTATGTGCCTGCTGCTGGTATAGCCAAGACTGGAGGCTTGAAGATGAAAAGGAACAGAAATGAGGGTGGTTGAACTATGCGTTTACAGTCCATCCCCCAAATGATGCCAGTATTTAAAGCTGATAGTGCAGTACAGATAAATGACGTCAGAGCAAAATGCAGCTGATCTGACAATTGCTCCGGTCGCCGTTGGAAGCTCACAGGCAGCAGCCTGGCGCTGGCTGGGACACTCCACTGGGAGCTCCTGCCCTCGGATAACATCCTGTGCTGTGGTCAGGCTTTCCACTGAGTTGACTAATTAGAGCTGAACCGACCCACAGGGGCAGGTGCTGGGGAGGGCCGGGTGGCGGGCAGCAGCGTGGCTCTGCGATGTGTGCGGTCTCCCCAGCGCTGCTCTGAAAGCAGGACTGCCACGACGTGCTCACCTCGAGCGCTGTCCTGTGCCTTCTCCCCTGGGTGGTGGGCTCACTTGCAGGACTCCTCTGCCCGCAGTTCAGCGGCTCTTTTGGCTGTTTTCTGCCACTGAGGCTGCTCCGGGCACTGAGGTGAGGCTGTAGCTGAGTGTGCGCGTGTCTCTGTGCAGCTGTGGTCACCCCGGACTCCTCTGTTTGCCTCTAGGTCTTTGGCACCAATGTGATGGTGACAGTTGCCAAATCGTTTGAGGCCCCGATAAAACGTGAGTAGATCTTCCCCGTGTGCTGGAGGGAGGGGCTGTCTGTTCCACTGCAGCGGCTGCCCCGTGCACCCTCCTGGCTCAGAAGGTGGGATGTGAGCAGGAGGGTTTCCTGCTAGTGACCCCTTCGACTGCTGCGTGGTGCCAGCGACCTGTTGGGAGCTGGGCCAGCTCTCTGCAGAGAGATGGTTTGCAGAGCCCTGAGCTGGATGGGTTAGTCTGCACCCCCAGGGTGGGCAGTTTTACCTGCTCATGAAAAAAAAAATTAAAAAAAAAAAAAAATCAAAACCACCAAAAAAACGGCAGGAGGGGTGAATTTCTGCTGTTGTGGAGCGTGCAGTGGCTTGGATCCTGGGAGCTGGGGCTGAAACCTGCACATGGGGCCAGCCCCAAAGCCCTCAGTTTCTCATCCCAGAGCTGTCGCAGGAAGGAGGAGGGGGGAGCTGCGGGAGAGTAGGGGGCCAAGGGCAGGAACAGGGGGCTTGCCCCGCTCAGGTCCCTTTTCACCAGGCACTGACATCTGCTCAGCACAGGCGCTCCCCCTCACTGTTCCCCTCTCTACTCCTCGTAGTGGTTTTCCCTCAGGACCTGCTGGAGAAGGGGCTGGAGGCTGACAACTTTGCCATGCTGGGTCTGGGAGACATTGTCATTCCGGGTAAGGACAGAAGAGGGGGTACGTGACCGGGAC